ATTCCTCAACCTGGCAAACAGGATTTGCATTTATATGTTTTATCCTGTAAAGTAGTAAAGATTTATTAGTTAGCCTATAACAGTACAGGTTCTTCGTGCCAACAATATCCCTAAGTTAGGATAGTTCTGAAAAAACTTACTTTATACTGTTATTCAAATCATTTTATGTTGCTTAAATTTACACCAATATTTTATATTATATCAATTAACTGGGTTAGAAGGGATAGGAAAAAAACTTTCTCTTTCGTTTGTATTGTGTGTAATTTATTTCAATAAGAAAACATCTGTGTAACTTATACGGACGTGTTATTAGTAAAAAACAAAAATACTGCAAAAACTTATGAATACGAAACGAATGCTTCAACAAATAGTGTACTTACTTTGTGACAACTGAGAACTAATTTTAAATTTGTCTGTGGCCCTCATCGTCTAAAATTAAATTAGATCAAAATCATTATCATTTAATTTTTTTTTTTTACTTAAATTTTTTAATTCATAGGTCAAACTAATAAATATAAAACTGTAATTGAAAACTATTCTTAGCTAAATACAGGGGATTATGTGATCGTTTCAATACGAATTTATCTGATTATGAGAAACTAAATGTCGATCGCATTTACATTATTTACAGTGGGGAATTTTTGCGTCAGACACGCATAATTACGTTCGTTGTGTAATTAAAATGAAATGTGTTAAATAAACAACAGGTTAGGGACTTTTGATTAAACACATGACAAATTATTCATCATAAAGGCTGATTATAGTGACTGACATAATGATATAATTAAATATCTGAATTAATTATGACAGAGAAAACATCATTTGCAACTGAACTTGTTTCATATTTCACATGTTTGCAATTTACTGGGTGAATTATACAGGGTGAATCAGACAACTCGTGCACAACGGTTTGGCCCAGCAATGGTTAAAAGGTCCTTTTTTTATTGGAAATCCGCCATTATATTTTTTACTGGGTTACTATTTTCAATTGTCACTTTAGGCACTTTTCTCTCTCAATGTTGGGATCTTTAAAAGTAGAAATATATGCCTGAAAAGTAATAAAAAAAATTAAAAACAGGTTAAAAAATTAAGACATTAAAAAAAAATTAAGTAGTTTGTTTTTTGAAGATGAAGGAAGGTGATTTTCGTAAAGGTTCCCATAGAAAATTTAATTCCTGACCGTGAATTTTTTTTCAAATCTTTGCCATCGATGTATATAACTCAAGAGACTTTTTCAACTATTTCCTACAAGTTGAGTTATATACATCGATGATCTTTGCTAGCTCTTACCGTTTTTAAACTATATGGCCGTTTAAAAAACGTGTTCTTCTTAAAAAAAGGTAGGAATTCTTAAATCCATCTTTACATATTTTATATTCATTGAGACCTTACAATATCAATTAATTCCATTGTTCAAAGTTAAATGTTTTAATTGAATTTTAATCATGCATTCCATTTTCTTGCAGGTAAATTGTACGAGCTCAACCAATGTCCAACATTCTGCAGAAACATTTTTGACAGAAAACAGTGAATAATTAATTTGGCCACAGGATGTGTTGAAGCAATCCTCTTAAACATCTGGCAGAGCTGCTTACAAGGGACCTACTCTTGGACTTGGAAAAGTATGTTGTGAAATAAAGTTTATAGCTAGATTTGTTTCGTCAACCTCAACTATAACCAATTTTAACATTCAGGTTATAATTTATAAGATATAGGCTTACTATGAAACTATAATAATAAATTATTGTCTATCCTGGCTCAGTATTTCTTTATGTGCAAAAAAAGATAATGCTTTCTTTATCTTCTTTGCCCCATGAAATGAAGCTTATACTTTGAAATCCTTGAGTTCACTATCAATAAATATGTAGCACTGTGCTATTTGTATAGCAAGTTAAATATTGTTCATGAATAGTTTTCATATAATATCATGCTGTTTGCTGGTTGTTGTTTTAATAACAATTGCAATGCATCATTTGACCGATTCTAAGAAATCCAAAATTAAGTTAAAACATCTAAGCTATTGTTATGTTTTGAATGCACTCTAATTAAAAAGGTAAGTTGATAAAATTGGCAGTTTTTTAACAAATAATTACATTAAGTACAAAAGATCAACCTTTTTCAACACTTATTTGTTTAGGGTTGACTTGTCTTATCTTATCAGTCTTATAAACCAACCATTTCATCCCAAAGTAATGACAGTCTTCCTGTTAAAGTGGGTTTAATGTATGTTTTACAAATATATTTTAAATATTATTCGTTATTGATAAAATATTTTGACTAGGAAATTGTTTCTCATAGCGTCAAATATCAGCAGTGCAGTAACAAGTAGGCCTACAGTTGGAGATGGTGTCAAATATCTCATAATGCTGGCTGGTCCTTGGCTAAACGCATACATTTATCACTTTTAAACAATATGTTGCTCATGCTGTGATGATTTAGTCAAGAAGAAAATGGAATAGCAATCCATTTAAAGCAAAAATATTAATGTGTACAGTGATATTTCAAAAACTGCTATTCAACAAACTTTTAGTGAAATAATTTACAAAATCCCGTAATATAGACTGTCAGATTATTTATATTCTAAATTCAATAAAAGCAAATTTCTCGTATCAGATATTCCAATAAACATTTATGTTTATTTATTTTTTGACTTTATTTGGTGCAACTGTGATAAACTTGAACACTCTTTTTTCGAAAAATTTTTTAATAAGTTTAAAAATAATATGTATTTTTTAAATATTTCTTATATCATTAAATACATAAGTGTGTTGAGTAGTATTCAAATGTTAGATTTAAGTTTTTAATTAGTACTGTAAGTACGTGGGAAAAGGCCCTACCTCAAGTAAAGGGTTGTAGAATTTGTATATCTATAAAATATTGTTCTATATTAGTTGATAATAAGTATATCTCAATATTACATCTGAAGTGAACTGTTAATTTAAAACAAGTTTAACTGTAAACCCAGCAAATTTCACTGATTTCCAAGCGCGTTTTCCGATTTTTAATCATTGTTTACCCAATTAATCAGATATATCCTTTTGTTAACATATCCCATTGTTTTTATTTACATGACCGATTTATTTTGTTCACTTTTGACATTTACGAATATTGCCCACCGTAACAGAATATCGTGCAATTCTGCTTGTTATACATACTAATATGTTTTACAGTAGGACTTCTCTTGAAGTAAATTTAAGATATTCTATGAAACTATTAACTACTATATTAATGGTATTTGTAATAGTCATGCTAACACATTTAGTGTTCTATAACAGCTTAACTGTTTGATTGCTTATTATTTCAAATTATGATTCAGATCATAAAGCCTTGAGTTTGATACCATTGCAAAAATACAGATAAACAACTAAATACTTCTAAATAATTATTTTCTGTTCATTAAAAGTCAGAAGTAGGTAAATAAGTATTATTTCACTTTATAAATTACTAATAAAACGGAACCGATTTTCCTAAGCAGTTGGCTTCGGAAAATCTGTTCGTCTCCTGTCGAGGAGAAGTTCTATCCCTAACAATATAAAACAGATTTATATTCTATGCAGATTCACACATACGCACATTATAAACTGTTAACGTGACAATCTTTTTACTACAACTCTTTTAAGAAATTAATTGGTACTTTGTGATGAAATAATTATTATTAGCGACAAGAGTGCTTCGTTGGAACACATTCTAGTGACAAAGTGTTTGAAGTGACAGTCAATTAATTACTTTCCAATTATCTCTTTATTAGTCGCCCCTAATTGGAAATACAACATTGGCTGTCAATTTAAAACCGTGGATAGTAAACAAGCTGACTACTTGAAATGTTGACACCTTTTTACTAATTCTTGTCTGTAATTATTATTTAAGTATTTTTATAGGTAATGTAAGTGATATTATGATGAAAGATTGTAAACAGATAAAAACCCTACCCATAACATACAAAAAGTTAAGTGGTATCCAGCCTAATGTTGTTTGTAGCCAGTCGCCTTTGCACTAGCAATGTGTTGAGAAACACTTCCTCTAAGAGGATTCTTAAAAGAAAGATTAACTGCTCTAAGAAAAGAGGATTTACCTTCTTAGAAGACTTTGAGTTGTGGTGGAATCGTCCACTGTTACAGGTGTCTTAGAGCAAACTAAAAAAAAACATCGCAAGGGATTCGTTATTTACACGTTTACCAAAAATAAGATCAAAATGTTATGTTAACCCATCTTAAATATGTTTATTTTTATGTCTTTTCTTTGAGTTTTTTCATTGAAAAGATATTTTTTAGGCAAAGTGTAGTATGTTTGAGTTTTAAACCAATAATTTTTTTAGTCGATAAGCTAAATTAAGAGCAATGATAAGAGATTATGGTACCTTAAGGTTAAAACAAAGTTAAAGAAAAACTAGACACTGTACCGTTTCCCTATGAAAAAAATATTTGCTACAAACTTGAACTTAGCTTATTTATTATCAACACATAACACATAACATAACATAACATTTATGCTAGTTGTATGATAAAGCTATACTTTATTGTATTTTCCGTTCTAGTTACAGCATTGCAGTGAAGGATGGTCAACAATGATAATGGTTCACTACCATTGACATTGATATAGTCATTTGAAATATAAGAAGTAAGACACGCAGACAGTAATGAGTCACTAAACTCATCGTTACAGAGAGGATTATGACGTCATAAAGTCGTCTACATCGTAACGTATTTTTACATCTATCCAGGGCCGTACCTAGGCTGTGGCAAAGGTGGCCCCTGCCAAGGGCGCAGGTTAGACAAGGGCGCAAAATGGGCGCCGGTTGGGCAAGAACGCAAAATGGGAAAGAGGGACAAATTTTACTTTTTTTATGAGCTAGATGAAAAAAATAGAAATTGACGTTTTACACTTATGTTACGGTAGCTATAATAACGGTTATATGAAATTATTTTATGTTTTTTAATGTAATTTATTGATTTATTAACAATTATTTATTACAATGTCAACCATTGTAGTTGTACAGAAAAATGGGCGCAGGGACGTTCTCACAAGGCCCGGTGGTAAGCATGACACTATTTTCGTTTTAAAGTTAATAATTCTAAGTTGGCAACGCTGGGCGTATTATTGTTTGATTTGCAAGCCTGTCACTTCACTTGCCAGTTCTCCTCCACACGCCAGTCCACTCAGTCCAGTCCCAGTGCCACTTTCAGTGCTAAGCCTTTATACTCTACTTAGCCTATGTAGGCCTAAACCGTATTCGTATTGCGTACATCGCTTCACTTCATCCATCAGATCTCACTCAATTAATTAGGTAAGATTTGTTTGAAACTAATTACATTGAATAACCCTTTAGCCATAAGTTCCGTTTTAGCTTTTGGTGATTATAGGCCTAGAGCAAAACTACTGCATAACCTTTAACCTAATCTTAGGCTTATATGTCATGCCATCAACAACATCTGCCTTTCTGCCTTGTTTTTCTGGAGATTAAATTAACTGCCCCAACTTTATACTGATTGCAATAAGCCTACTCGCATATTCCGACTGCCTATTTCCTCTCTATTTTCTGTAATACTTCCATTCCTTGGTCCGTTTGTAGGTTATACTATAGTAGTATAAGTGCTTGGGTGCTGCTTACAAACTCTCACTGTTGGCCTATACAAAAGAACGAATTATTGGCTAGTTTGTATGTTCTATAACAATGGGCTATGTTTGTTATTTGTATTTGTAAATTTTCCCTTAAAATCCACGTCTAGCAAGCTTAGAAATCAACTTGTCCCGTCGTTTTCCCTCCAATTGGCCATGGGACCCAGGGAGTGCTGCTATCTGTGGACGCTTTAGCGAACTACGTTGACTCTCGTCGTAACGCAGTACAGTAGTCGCAGTTAGTCTGGGCGCGCGGACCCTTGTGCACTAACCATCCCCCACGCCAAAGCCATGAAGACATTGCTGAGGCGCTGAACAACCCCAGAGTGCCGTGTGGGCCAAATGTTTTTGGAAATGAGCAATAAACACTCCCCTCTACACCCCCCCCCCTGATTGTATGTCTTAAGTTTATGCAATTCATTTTACTGTTCTGTAAAATTCTGGTTAAGAGCCCACTTCCTGATATTATTTTTTTAGTAAAAAATAATATATATTTTTTGAATTGGGGAACAATAAAATGCATTTATGGATGCTATAAAGCATCCTTGACAATCTACAAGAATTGGTATTGCCTAATAGGATTGGTGACGATGGTACAAATATGGATTCTCTATTCTATTAGGAATTGAATTTTTTTCAGAAATGGGTCCAAAGAAGAAACTTTCTGGATGTCAGTTTAAGAACATCCGAAAAGAAAAACAAAAAGAGGACAAGAACATCAGCACTTGGTGGCTGGCTTTTAAATGAAAATAAAGAAATGGGAAAAAAAGATACACCTTCTCAAATACAAGAAGAAGTTAAAGAAGAAGACATCAAAAATAATGAAGGCGAAGAAGAAGAATGCAGCATGATACCTTTATCAGAAGAAGGTGACGACGACGACAACCGCAGCTACATAACTCCAACAATACCAATGGACGTTGACACAAACCTCGCTACTTTAGAAGAAGACTGTGGTCCTCAGCTGGAACCATTCACAAAGAATGAACGTTTGCGTGCTGCTGTTGAGGAAGAGGAAGGGTGTAGTTGTACGCCTACAAATGAAGGCAAAGAAATTGAAATAATCTACGACGACCCCAAGCAATGGCCTGAAAATTTTCGATCTGATGCAGTACGTTGTAAACTTGTTGAACGAGGTCCTCAAACTGTTGACTTAAAAAGCTTTAAATTTCCCTGTACAGATGATGGAAGGCACTTTTCCCGCAATTGGTTTTTTAAAACTATAAGAAATGGTGAAACTGTACAAAGGCAATGGTTGTTGTATAGCCAATCTAAGGATACACTGTTTTGCTTCCCTTGTCTTTTATTTAAAGACGATAAGTCAGCTTTCTCGGATGTAGAAAAGGGGTTTAATGATTGGAAACACCTCAATCCAACACTTCACAATCACGAAATTTCAGCATCTCACCTACAAGCATATGGCGATTGGAAAGAACTAGCTACCCGATTGCAAACTGGGCGTACAATTGACGCAGAGAACCAAAAATGCATAAAAGCAGAAGCTGAAAAGTGGCGCAGTGTTCTCAAGTGTATCGTAGATGTAATTCTTCATTGTGCCAGGAATAACTTACCATTGAGAGGGGGTTCTGACTCTATAAATGACAAAAATTGTGGTGTATTTTTAAGTACTCTGGAACTCATCAGTCACTACAATCCTCAGCTAAATGAGCATATAGCTAATGTAAAAAGTGGAAAATATGTCCCAAGCTATTTCTCTCCAAAGATACAGAACGAGGTTATTGAGATTTTAGGTAAAAAGGTTAGGTCTGAAATATTGCAAGATATCAAAAATGCCAAGTACTTCTCAATTATGTTTGACTGCACCCCGGATACAGCACGTTTAGAGCAGATGAGTCAAATAATTAGATATGTAAAAATTGTGGATGGAGAGTGTGTAATAGAAGAAAGCTTTGTTGACTTTATCATAAGTCATCAGAAAACTGGAAGAGGTTTATCTGAAGAAATATTGGACAAGCTGATGAACGACGGCTTAGATATCCAGAACTGTCGGGGGCAAGGCTTCGATAACGGTGCAAATATGGCTGGAAAATATGAAGGTGTCCAAGCTCATATATGCCAGCTGAACGACCTTGCCAAATTTATTCCTTGTTCAGCTCATAGCTTGAACCTAGTTGGCGTGCACGCAGCAGAAGTGTCAGTTCTAATGATGAATTTTTTTGGAAAAGTGTTGGAGTTTTTTAATTTCTTTAGTAGTTCTACAATACGTTGGGAAGCCTTACTTGATTGTGTAAAAACTACCCTGAAGAGACATTGTGAGACAAGATGGTCTTCTAGACGACAAGCCGTTACAGCACTGCAGAAGAACTTGCCATCAGTATTTAAGGTGCTACAAAACATGGCCGATAGAAGCAACAATTGGAACTCTGACACTACATGTGGTGCTACAAACCTGTTAAGACAAATTGATTTCGAATTTGTATGCCTCCTAGAGATTTGGACTGATGTGTTGATCAGTTTGGACTGTACCAACAAATCACTACAAGGAAAGACTGTCACTCTTGATGTAGCATCAAGTTTACTATCTGGCTTGGCAAAACAGATTCAACATCTACGAGAACAAGGTGTACAAAAGTACATAGACAATGCCAAACTAATCTGTACTTCTATGTCCATCGACAGCAGTTTTGCCGAAAAACGACTAAGAAGGGTCAAGAAAATGTCTGGGGAGATGGCTGAAGATGAAGCGCATTTAATTAGCTCTGAAAAAATCTTTGAAAGAGAGTGCTACTCTGTATTTGACAAACTTATGAGTGAAATGGATAACAGATCCCATATTTATCACAACATTTCTTCTGACTTCAGTTTCTTGTCTGACAAATCTTTAAGTAGGAACTCTGTATGTGACCTTCAAAAATGTGCAGCGGACTTGGGTGTCAAATACAGCAGAGACATTGACACTTTTGAACTAGTAAATGAAGTAGCTGCTTTTAAGTTCCAGGCAAAAGAGCTTGTAAAAGACTTGGAGAAGGCATCTCACTTGGATCTCTTAAAGGCCATTTCAAAATACGAGTTGAAAGATGCTTATCCAAATGTAGAAATATCCTTACGGATATTTTTAACGATGCCTGTCAGTGTTGCATCTTGCGAGCGTAGTTTCAGCAAGCTCAAGATAATTAAAAACTACTTGAGATCGAGCATGTGCGAAACTCGACTGACAAATTTGGCAATTTTATCAATCGAGTATGACAGAGCATCCAAAATTGATTTCAATGAAGTAATCAATGAGTTTGCTCTCGTTAAAGCAAGGAAAGTGCAATTATTGTAAATATTGATGAAGTCAGAATACAGTTGTAAATATTAAAACTTATGTAAATAACTCTGTACAAATTGTACTTATTGTAACTTATTAAATTCCACAAAAAGGGATAGGCCTACTTTTGTTTACTACCTTAATATACATTGTGATGAAATTGGGTTAACGGATCATTATGTTTTATAAAAATATATTGTTTAGCCAATCATTTAAGCATAAACCATAAAAAATCATTATAGTGTAGCAAAAAGTTAAATTTTCAATGTCAAAATCAGAATTATTTCTTGATGTTTTAAGAGCCAGAATTGCTTAAAAATGTGTTTTACTGATGTTAAAATTTAAAATTTTTCCATACCCCCCAGACCCCCCGGAGGGCGCACTTACGCTGGTTCGCCACGTACAAAGGAGCATCTAGGTACGGCCCTGCATCTATCTTGTTCGTGCTTGCGGCGTGATTGCTTCCTTAGATTATAGGCTTACAATCAGAGGTTGAGATCAGAGGGATTATTATATACTAATTATTAACTAATTATTGATTATTATATACTAAAGGGTCCATATCAGCAATTGCTGTCCTTAACCTCATTTGTAATTTGGCCTTAACCATTCTCTATGCTATGCACCATTCCCAAATACTCTCCTTTGTAGTCGTGGTCTTCCCCTAAGGTGATACATTTCAACACTGCATTACCATTCTAACCTAAAACGGAACACTAAAATCAATAGACAAACAAATGTGCAATGTTTAGATCAGCTGGTATATTTTAAACAGCTTAAACAGTAGAAGCACTGTAGCAGTAATTCCATCATAAAATTACTGGACCTTTGGTGGCCTGTGGGGCAGAGCAGGGTCGATTTTTGACACTTCTGATATTTTCTCAAAGTCCTTAGACCTTAAGCTTTAAAATTAATCCTCAACAGTCACGGTACTCTTTTCCTAGCTCAAGATATTTCGTGGGAACCGATTCGCTTACGGAACAAAATATATAGATACTTTACTATATAAATTTCGTTAGGTTTTTTACATAATAATAGTTTTTTCCTACCACTGCATGGAAATGATCACATTGCCATACCTGTAAATAGTACGCAAAATATCTCATTCCACTCTAGAGTGGGAATGCATCATTCTCCACCCGTCAAATCTGCTGATTTCTCAGATGGCGTGTCTACTCATATCACAGCAATGGATCAAGTAAGTAAGTTAACAACTGGTAAACAAACAACATAAAAATTTATACCGAGACTTATAAAATTAGTTTAAACCGAATATGATTGAAGGTCAAAGCAATGGTGGGTAAAAAAATGGCGATTGGTTGTCTGAGAAACGTAGAAACAATAAAGAAGCAATCACATGTCTGATTGTTTGTGTTGGTGGTTGGCGTGACACACACAACACAATCTATCTCTGGTAACAATCAAACAAATGTGAGAAGTGATTCTCAGATCTGACACGTAGATGTATGTTCTTCGTATTCTATCTACTTTGGTGTCCACATGAAACAGACAGAAATTTTACTAGACGTATTTTTTTTACGACAAAAGAACATAAATAATGTTGATAAGCATAGTTAAGAATGTTATTGTGATTTTTTTAATACATTTTATAACCAAACAAACTCCGTACCTCATCGATGTAAGGTGTAAGATAAATATTTGCAGGCTACAAAGACATAATTTTTAGGCTCATAATATTTTATTTAAATGAACTGAGTAAGTTTACAAATAAAAGATTAAATACCTTTAGTACTGTCGGTGTTAGGGTTGGGTCAGCGACCTGGGTTTCGAACCTAAGTTCATTATCAAACTGTCACCAGTTTAAACATACCGGTACTCCAAACTTCCAACTAAATCCTCTTCATAACTGGGAAGGGTCCTTAAATACACAAAACACGAACACGAAAACAAAAAAAAAACAGTTGGTGTACATTGTACACAACGTTGTATAAAACCAGTTATGTAAAAAACCAGTATTTGGTTGAAAGTTTGGGGTATGTTTTAACTGGTGACAGCTCGATAATGAACCTTTAGGTTCGAAATATGGGTTGTTGATTTAAACTTGGATCACAGATAGTACTAAAGGTATTTAACCTTTTATTTGTAAAATATGTGATCCAGAGGCCAAACATGTTAAAATGAGTAAGTATATATGATTTTGATAATAGATACAACATGATGAAGATAAATACATCAAATCCCTTAAAAAACCAATTAACTGAAAAACATTTCCCATAAAATCTTGGATGATTCTCTAAACGGAAATCGAAGTGAAAAAAGATTTAGTTAAAAGAGAAAATTCTGAGCTGAGGTAAGACTATGAATTGCATGATGTAAAGGAGTAAAAATCCCATAAGAGAATAACTTTTTGAAACGTGCATTTTATTACTGTACACAATTTAATTATTTGAATTGTGCAATTTTATATTACAACAAGATTTCTTATTGATATTTTGTGGAAATGCTTGCTGCGTCTATTTCTAAGGAAAGTCTGCTATCACCTATAAACATCTTTACGTATTAGAAATTGGTTTGTCACTTAAATTATCTCAAATTATACCGAAATAGCATTAAAGTGAATAATCCTTTTGAAAATCCAAAAAATATTCCGTAAATGGCTTTTCTTTTAATGTTTTGTTTTGAAATCTGTCTTAAAAACATAAACATCTTCTTGATCAGCATTGTACGTGTTATTAAATTTACGGAAAGTAAATAAAAGAGACGTCTTATAACACTTAAAACATATATTTACGCTTATACTGTAACTCACAAGACGGTAAATATACAAAAAATATGATAAGTGGTGATCGATTTCGATTGGACACTCCAATAATCATGTTTGGGACAATCGCCTATATTGGGTCTGTTGATGATTGGAGTGTCCAATCTAAATCAATCACCACTTACCATATTTTTTGTATATTTACTGTCTTGTGAGTTACAGTATAAGAGTAAATATATGATTGAAGTATTATAAGACGTCCCCTTTATTTACTTTCCGAGAACATAAACGTAACAATTTAAAGATATTTATCTTAGATCCGTAAGTAAAGTACACTTTGACGTGATAGGATTTACTCAAGAATAATTTATGTGATCTTAAAAGTTCAGCCGAAAGTTGTTAGAAGGACGCTTATATTTCATTGCTGAAATTGAGTATTAACATTGAAATAAATCTGAACATTTATTTGTGAATATTAAAACTGTGTTTAAGCTATATTCTTATTTTCTAGACAACTAATATGATAAATAAGACTTGAGAGGGACTGAAATAACTCATTTAACAAAATCTAAACCAAACAAAGTTTGCTACAAGTGTAATTTTGTTTCTTGAAGAACGTAACAATTTACAACTTTCCGTTAAAACATAGCTCTGTCCATTCGATATAAAATGTTTTGCAGTAATTCGTAATTCAAATTCTTTTTTTGGATCACGGAAATGAGGAATTTATTTAATATTCATTAATAATATTGTTTATTGTAATAACATTATAACTATGACTATTATGCCAACAAAGTATTATGCCAAAGCTACTTTTCAACAGTAACGAAATCATTTTTTAAATCCGTGTTCGTTTGTTCCCTCTTACTTAGTAATGAATGATTCATACTATCAAAGAAATTACTTACAGTACATCAATTTCCAGCCAAGCCGTAATGTTAGGGTAATACACCCCCATTACTAAATTACCTGTTCGTTGAACCAGTTTCATTGACGTTTAGCAAGTAAATCTTTAGGGGGAAGATTTTATCAGGTGGTAAAATAAAAATTACCAGTATTCTTTTGTTCAATATCTTCTACTAACTTGTAAATATTTTTATAAACAAGGAAATACAATCTATTATTTATTAAATTATATTGAGGACATAATTATAAAATAACGTAAAATAATTAAACATCAGTAATATAATTTATCTTTCTGTTACTTAAAAACAATTAGAAATACTGTACTAACATTACTCATCTAAATTAAAATACAGAATTACAAATATTCCTTTGGATTGCAATCTTTATTTCCAATTATATTTCAACCTGGTTTCCCTCCGAAAATATTTTCCCAAAAAATAAAGAACAAAGCAGCCTTGCAATAAACATGGGCTGCCAATAACATACCTTGAAATGGGCTCCACACGATCCGGGGTGACTTATTTGTTATCTTTAAAAATATACAAATAGAGTAATATATTTTGTTTCTTAGCTGGAAATTTAAAAACAAAGGAATCGTTTTTGAAAATCATTGTTTTTTATGGACAGTTCCACTTAAACCATTTTTTCAAACGTGTTGGCGAAAACGATACTTTTTCAATTTAATAATATTAGTATGTAAGGGGACGGGAGTAAAAAGCTATACATTATTTTCAAATGTATTGTATTAGTTATCTATGTATTGTGTGTGTTTTATCTATGGTAATACAAAACTATTCCAACAGACGGTTTTAGGTCGTATAATGTGATAAGTGATATGGTTTCCAAAAAAATATGGGAGCCCTAAAATTGTTTCCACCAGCTGTCTTTTATATTAAACTTCCGATTATTTTAGTGATCTATACATTTATGCGTTTCATATATGTTTAGAATACCTTAAGGCCTTATTTGAATCATTAAACCTAAATTTAAATGTTTTCTGAGTCTTTTTTTTTCAAAATGTAAAAAAAAGCTTCACAACAAAAGGCAACACTAAAGAGCCTTAAGAACTCATTATAAATTTATGTAAAAGCTCCTAAAACACAAGTTGAATTGCTTTTGATAAAATATACTTAACGGTAATAAGCAACAAACGAACAATAGAAAGGTTCTTTCCATCCCTTAAATAGAAGCTTTGATGATGCTTTGTGGAATGCTATTATAACTTTGTGATTAAGTAAGCTGTATAATAATATAATATAATAATTTTTTCTATTTACTATCACTCTGCGTCAACTATGTTTAAAATGAAATACACAAAACACTAATGAACAATTGTTTTAAGCATTAAATATTCTACAGAAACCAATTTAAGTTTTAAATTACCAAA